TTTAGAAGCCACATCAGGAAACACACAAATCGTAATATTCTAGGTGTCGCCTCATTTTTCATCGTTGCTATCGGTGGAATTGCTATCGGAATTATCTTTGCTCTACTCACCTCCATTTTCACAAAGTAATTAAAAATATTTTCAATCGATAATCGGTGTTTATTAAGGTACACCCACAATGTAAAAATTCTGGCGCCACTTTTTGTATTCATGCTACCGTACGCCGCGTACTTGTGCGCCGAGATGGTGTCGCTGTCGCCAATTTTGGCGTAAGTATCATATTAAAAATTGGAAGATGATGAATTTCAGCATCTCATTCTGCGGCATGTTCATGAAGCAATATGTGAAGGGGAACATTTCCAATTCAGCGCAGACCTCCATCAAATATTTCACGAAAATGCTGGCGCAGAGCAGCGAGACGGTGAGTGGAGAGATAGAGAGATGAAGATAGAGAGCGAGAGAGAGAGAGCGAGAGAGCGAGAGAGAGACAGATAGTCAAGAAATAACTCTAATTGCAAATTTTGCAGGTTGTTTTCGTATTTCTTGGACTCTCTACCGTATCCTCGGATCATTATTGGGATCTATCATTCATCGCAGCTACGATTGGACTTTGCTTGTTGGTCAGAACGATTGGTTTGTTCTACCTTGACCCGTTTTTACAACTAGTCGAAACTTTTAGGCGTGATTGCGCAGTGCTTCATCCTAAACCGTTTCCGGACGAAGAAATTCTCGATGGTGAGGGTAAACTCCAAAAGTCTCGCTCTCGCTAGTTCTCTCTCACTCTTTCTCTCTCACTCTTTCTCTCTCGCTAAGTGAATTCTCTTTTTAGGTCGACCAATTCATCCTCTCCTACGGTGGTCTCCGAGGTGCCATCGCATTCGGTCTAGCTTCCTCAATGTCCGGAGATATTGGCGCTAAAAGCTGCTTCCTCACCACCACGATTTGCGTTATCTACTTCACCGTATTCCTCCAGGTACTGTATCTACAAAAATAGACAAAACGATATCTTTATTAGGGGATCACAATCAAGCCTCTTGTCGATTGCTTGAGTGTCGAGACCCGAGATGGGAGAGCAAAGACGATGAGCGAGCATGTCTATGGCAATGTAACGTACCCAACCTCTTGTTTAAACCAAGATTTTAGTACATGGACCATCTAATGTCAGGTCTGGAGGTGATCGCCGGGATCAAGGGCCATAACAGTGTTCGGGCCTGGTTCGATCGGATCAACAACTTCTACCTGAAGCCGATTTTAACACGCGGCCATGTGACTAGCAATTTCGACGAGGGGAAAATTATCCGTGCTTTTACGAAGATGACAATTCAGGAAGTGTTGGAGGTAGGTTAAATTCATGGAATATAAAGAAGTAGATACTTAGGACACAAATTATAATTTAACCTACATAACTTTCTATTTAGGCAGAAGTTCCCGACTCCACGTCACCGAACAGTACACCAACAACTACTGTAGTACAGTCAACGTATGTTAAATACGATTTTATATATTTTTCTGTATCTAGAATCGATGAAACTGAAGGAGGAGCTTATGATAATCAAGCATACACCCCTGAACCCCCAAGGAAAAAGATGTCGAGGCAGACCACGATGGCGGAGGTAGGATAAAGAAAAGTGCTGACCTTAGCGGGGATTTTCAGCTCTTGAAAGACCAAAAGAATGTGAATCTCCTCTGCGACATGTTCTCGGAGATGCTGGACAAGAAGTTGTCGAATGCGGGGATCAGAGATCGGATAAATTTGGAGGACGAGATCGCTGATGACTACATCCAAGGGGTGGAAAGGCACGAGATTACGGTACGTTGTTCGTTGAGTACGAGCTTGATGTCACTAAATCAGGCTTTTTTATGCAACCGTCAAGTTTTGCAACCACTTTTTAAGGTCGTGTGGCTCGTATATAGGCTAGGCTAATAAGGGTGTCGGTATGCCAAAAATCGACCCCTTCGCGCGACTAGGTTTAGACAATTCCAAGATTTGAGCCCTCGCAGCGATGATTAATTTTCAGGGACATCGCCAGAACAAATCCTTTTCCCGAGCAGACCTGTATGCAGATGGTCCCTCCGATTTGGCGTCAACCAGCCAGAAATCAGACGATGCACATGTCAGACGGGAGGAATTCCGGATGCATACCCGGAAACGGGGGACGATCGGTTAGTCGGATAGCTTAACATTGTCTCTGTCTATCAATTTCGCTTGATTTTCCGGTTTCTCTGTCTACAATACGGGTACTGTCCTTTAAATGATGTATTTATTGATTGTGATTAATGTGTTTACTTGGTTTTGAGGTTGCGTGTAGTGAAGAAGTTGTAATACGGATAGAAATAAACGGATTTGCAAAGCAATGCCATCTAGTTACGTTTAAATCTAGATCCGTGCCTAAGACTAAGCCTGAAAAGTGGAGCTTTCTGGGCATCTGCCAATCGTCGCGTACTATTAAATTTCCAGAAAACGTTTATTGATACCAAAAATATTAGAGGTAGCTTCTCGCTCAGGCCTTGTGGGCGTAACGCCTGGGGCAAGGGCAGTAGTTGGCATCCCGCCCATGCGACCCGGGGTTCCCGGGGTTTCCATCGTGTCCGCGGGCTCCAGGAGCTCCAAGGCCACCCGGGCGTCCAGCTCCTCCGTTCTGCCCGGGCTGACCGGGGGCTCCCGGAGCTCCTGTGTCTCCGGTAGCTCCCTAAAAATGAATTTTCAAGTTAAGGGTTACTAGGAACTTACGCGCTCTCCAGCGCGTCCAGGGCCTCCGGTGGGTCCTTGAGGTCCGGGCACTCCACGACTTCCAGGAGCTCCGGGGCTTCCGGGGCCTCCGGGGGTTCCGTCCTCTCCAGGATGTCCATCCGATCCGGGGATTCCGGGGGCTCCAGGAGCTCCACCTGACGATTCTCCATCTCGGCCGGGGGCTCCATTGTCTCCACGGGGTCCAGGGTAACCAGGGGCTCCAGGAGCTCCGGTAGGTCCTGATGGGCAACGATGGCAGCCTTCCTGAAAATGGGGAAGTTAAGTTCAGAAAGTGAGAGAGAGAGAGAGAGAGAGAGAGAGCCAGAGAGAGAGAGAGAGGGAGAGAGGGGGGAGAAAGAGAAAGAGCGAAACATGGCTAAACTTACCGAAATGTGCCTATACTCATCGGGAACGATGCCCGGCGCTCCAGTGACTCCTCGTGCTCCAGGTGCTCCAGAATATCCATTCTCTCCAGGGACCCCAGGGGGTCCAGGAGGACCCGAGGGGCATCGGTTGTACGATTCGCAAGTGCATTGGCCTCCACCGTAACGAGGAGCAGGAGCGGGATTCCAAGCGGGAGCGGGTCTCCAGGCCGGAGCAGGGTTCCAGGCCGGCGCGGGGTTCCAGGCGGGAGCAGGAGCTAAAGATCAAGGAGCTTTTTAAAGGCGCTGGTAAGTGTGACCTCCGCCCCCAAATATTCAGAAAAAACCTACACCAAGCCGGGCGACGACGGCTCTCACCACTGTCACGAGAATCGGAGTTCGAGTTGGAGCGCGAGTTCGAGGCGCTGCGAGCCCAACGGGATCTGCCGACGTTCTTCCGGGCCATCTGAAAAGAAGCCGTTTCTACTGTGTCTCAAAAGTTCACCCGGAGTTGGGCCTCAATTTCGACCTCCTTGACGTGGAAGCGATCGCTCATCCGAGCGACATTGCTCTGGATCTCTTCGATCTAAAAAAGAAGCCATATACGCAGCGTACTGTGCATGTATGCTTTTAGAAAAATTATCAATTCAGGAAGACAAGTAGCTTACAGTAAACTAAAAATTTTCACAAATGCCAATTCTGGCCCACCTGTCCCCAGAGATACGGAGTGTACAGTAGGCAGGTGAGGATGGCTACGACCGAGCCTACGGAGGAGGCCCACCCCATCAGTGATTGCATCTGAAAAAAAGGTGTTTGGAGGGGTACGGCAGAGTACGGTGGGATACTGTAGTCCGGAACTTTTTTAATTTCTGCAAAAGCCCGAATGAGTAAAACACCAAAAACTCAACCTACTTACTGTAGTCCTGGCCGGCTGGATGCGCTGATTCCCAGTGTATGGATTCCACTTTTATACACATCAACTTCCTGGCCCGACCCCAAATTCCAGGTACCGCCAAAAGTAGCAAAAACAGCCTTAACCATTTACCTGGAAAGTCGGGCTCTGCCAAAAACTACGCGGCTCGGTCACACCATCACGACCGTGGTTTGCCCCTGTCCTTTGCGCGCGTTGCCGTGCCGCGTCCTGGATGATCAAAATCGGGGATATGGTCACAAGCGTTTGGGAACGCAACGAGAACGCGCCAACATCAGAAAAACGCTGGAACGAATCTGGGGAAGGCCTTTTCGTTGAAATTGAAAGAGCATAGTCCTTTTCCCATCGAGAGGGGGAAGTTGGGAGGTGTTGTGGAAGGTACTTATCATATTTATTCGGTGGGGAACTGTTATGCGTCCGATAGGTTTCCGATGTTACTTATTTTCGCGTTAATGTCTATATTTTCTTACCTTCACCCAAGATTTTTCACTATTTATTGAAACTGCAGAATCTCAAATGATACAAACCAGCCATAAATATTACTGTATTTGGAAACTGCAAAATGTCAAAAAAAGTACGGACAAAAAGGCTGACAAGAATTCTAAATGAGGCAATGTGAAAAAAGGTCGCGCGAAAAGACAATCAAATTTGCATGCTAATTTCAGGAAGACTAAACACAACGAAAATTGAAGAGAGAGAGAGAGAGAGAGAGAGAGAGAGAGAGAGGAGAGGAGAGAGAAAGAAAGAGAAAGAGAGAGCGAGAGAGAGGGAAAGAGAGCCAGAAAGCGAGAGATAGCGAGTAGGTGAGAAAGAGATGAAAGAGAGGTTGTGAGACTTGGAGGCAGCGTATAAGAGACGGGGAGAAAAAAAAAAGAAATGCACGACTAAAACCTAAAAATCTGAAAATCAAAAAAATCACTGACAAGAATCCTCTTCAAACAAATCGCTGCTTTTTCGAACATCGAGAAATCACTTAATTAAGGTGCGGAGCCTGGATAAAGACACGCGCGCCGGGATGGGGCTGCGGAAGCGGTTCGCGGCCAATGACTTGAGTGAGCGGGCGACAAGTGGTGTTTTCGGGTGGAGAGGAAATAATGGTCAAATGGGCATTATTTTCCCTAGTGATATCAATCCAGAGCAATTGGTTCAGCATGCGGACGTGGGCTCCATTGCGGACAAGCCGATGCATCATGCCTTCAGAAATCAGGCCGCCGACGTCGTAGCTGATCTGGCGAATCTTGCGGCGGCCGGCCATCCATTCGGCAAGCTGGTGGTCGAGGATTTGGCGAGCCTGAAAGCGGGCGATGATCTAGATTTTTCGTCACGTAATTGCGACAAATTCAAGGCGTTCGGCCAGACATAGAGTGCGAGACGGAGAGAGAGACAGAGCGAGAGAGAGAACGAGAAAGAAAACGAGACCCACCTGCTCCCTCCGCCCATCAATCCCCACTTCAGCTTCCACCTCCAAAAATAGCTGATGATCGACGCACACCGAAATCCATGGGTGCTGCAGCGCCACGTAACTCATAACATTCTGCTCGGCACGCCCGAGGTAGAAGCTGACCTGGCAGGCCGTGTTGTTCAGTGACTCGATGGCTTCTGGCGTGACCGTCTGCCAGCCGAGTTCCAGTTTCTCGTAGTTGCCCACCGGGCGGAATTTGTCTAGCAGTAGATGGAGAGGCTCTAGCGTTTTCGGGACGACGATCATCAGCGATTTTGCGGTCATCTTGGGCCAGGATTCCCAGGCGTCATGTAGGCTGAGTTCGTCGACATGTGAGTTGTTGAGGAGTAGGTAGACGGTTGCGGAGTGGCCGATCCGGAATGAGCGGCGGGCCTCACGGATTTGGATGCGGCGGCCCCAGAGCTCGACGTTGATGCTAAAAACGCGTCGATTTCATTCTTTAAGCAAATGAGCCAAAAAAGCTTAGGTAAAACGAACCTCCACGTCTTGCTCGGCAGGGACTGGGCGGCGATCCAATTTTTCTTGCTCGATTGGGCGTACTTGTAGAAAGATTTCCAGTCGTCTCCCAGAAAACCGATGATGTTTTGGCGGACCTCGCGCGGTAGCGTTGAGTAGTCCATCCTCTTAAATAGGCGGCAACTTACAGAAAGTGATAATAAAAAGCTAAAAAAATGGTACGCGAAAAAATCGAAAAATCTCTGTAAAGATATCAAAAATTAACGGCTCAAGTCTAGGAAACCCCCCCCCCCCCAGCCGACTTTTCAGCTTTTCTACCTCCCTTATTTTTATTTTTCGCGACTTTTTTCGACTGAACTGCAATGTAGTCTTACTAATTAGCCTACGGCGAACATTTTGGTATACTTTAGAGCTCGCTAGCACAAAGAGAGGCCGAGATACAAAAGTTGGTGCCGGCTGGGGGGGGGGGGGGGGTTTCTAGACTCTTACCAAATTAACTAAGTATCGGTCTTTCTCATACGCATTCTATCGCTCTCGTTCTCGCTCACTTTCTGAACTCGCTCTCTCCCTCGCTCACCCTCTCGCCCTTTTGCTCTATCTCTCTCTCATTCTCCCTATCTCTCTCTCTCTCTCTCTCTCTCTCTCTCTCTATATTGCTTGCCGTCTCTCTAACTCTAGCTGCATTTCTGTCTAAACGTGGCCAGAAAAATGGTAAAAATGCGAAAACTGCAGTTTTCAGTACGTATGCATAAATCAATGCTTCGGAAAGCGGTTGGCAATAGCAAGGAATCTATTTTTAGCAAATCGATGGCATCATCGTGTCTATTTGACACCTGCAAAGTTCGGGTAGGTGCCAAACTGGCTTATGCAACAAGATCCGGGTGGTAAGCAGGGACTGTCTGGCCGCACCCATCTGGACCCAAGGCGGCCCTGGGGGTCACTCAGTTATGCAGGGACATCTAATCGCCCGATCGACACCACATTTAGATGTCTATGGGTTGGGTCACGCCTGCCGCACGTGCACCACCCTGTAATTTTTGAATAACAAGTGGTGAGTCATAAAAACAGCTCGAAGCGTCTGGAAGGAAGATTTGATTTTTTTTGCAGCGCGCGATTATCGTCATCGTCGTCTATCCATTTGCAGGAATGATAAAGAAAAAGGCAATAAAATACAATGGGACGCGATGCATTTCCTTCAAAATCATTTTAAAGGTATTAGCAAGACACAAATCCTGTATTAGGCCTAATCTTCAGAACTCAAGGCACCTAATGTCCAACCAAAATCAGCGCTTCTTGTGTGCGTCGAGGCTATCTCTTAGCTGTCGAGACCTAGCGAGGGTAAGGGTTGACTTTCGCCCTAAGTAATAAAAGAAGTAAAATTGGATACGATATTCTGTTTTTGAAAACTTGCACAAAACTGTGCAAAGTGTTTGATTGTATGCGTTTATTCAAAATTAGAGGAAGAGCATGAATCCAGGGGGCCAAACGAGGATGAGAGAGCGATAGAGAGAGAGAGAGAGAGAGAGAGAGCGAGAGAGCGAGAGAAAGAGAGATAGAGAGGACTACGTATTTTCCTTTTAAAACGTTTCTTATATCCAAAATTAAAATAAATTCTGCTAAAGGTCACCATTGTGTGATCAAATCTCAGTCAAAAATTATCCGTTTTTGGTGGGTGAGCTACCGGGGAAGCACCATTTAGAATCGCGAGAATAAGTGTACCAAATATCACAAATAAAATGGGCAGAAACTACAGTTATGTTCACAAAATTCAAGAGACCAGGCAATCAGTCGCCTCCACCTTGTCCCCCACTTCCACGTCCGAAGCCTCATCATCCGCCGCTGAACCATCGTGGGCAGATTCCTCATCCGAGGAAGCTTCTTCGTCCTCTTCATCATCAACAAACTCATCATACTCGTCCTCCTCTTCGAATTCGTAGGCCCGAATTTGGGTCATATCTCCATACCAATCCTGCATCGGGGTGGTCAGCCACAGTCCGCCCAGCTTGTTTTCCATGTGGGCGCACAGCCTCGTGGGGGTGGAGATGTACCTCGGGGTGAAGCGATATAGCCAATTGTCGAAGCGGAGGGTGTACATGTTAGTGAGGGAGAATTGGACCAGGTGAACGGGCCGCTTCCTGGCCTGCCAGTCGTCGATGACACGCTCCGCCAGCCTGACCGCCTGAAAAGAGGTATTGAGATTAGAGGGTATCTTGACAAAGTTGAGACTGTAAGGTTGCCGGCCGCACTAACGTGAGACTCAAGCGTCAGCCTAAGCCTAAGCCAAGCCTAAGCTTAAGCGGATCCAAAGCCTCAGCAAGCCTATGCCCAACCCTAAGGCTCACCGTAGTTTTCTAAAAGTAAGGAAATAGAAACCAAATCACACCTGCTCCCTGCCCATCCGTCCCCAAATTGGCTTCACCACCATGGAGCCATGAATCAGCCGACCAAAGACGTCAAGGTCGAACTCATCCCGCGGAAGTCCAAATGACACCTTCATGGCATGGCTGTTCAGCAGCTCCACTGCTTCCATCGTCAGTTTCTGCCAGCCAAAATCCACGCTTTCAAAGTCCAACTTTGTGGGCTTGAGGCTCTTCAGGAGATCGTGAAGTGGGGGAAGTTGCAATTGGCCCTGGAAGGAGACCCGCTTGGCCGTGATGTTGGGCATGGGGGCCCATTGGCAGTAGATGTTCAATTCCTCAACTTGCGCGCCATTCAGGAGGAGACGGAGCGTGGGCAGGAGTTGCAGGGTGAAGTGGCGTCCGTTTTTCTTTTCGACGAACACGTGACCATCGTAGTAGAAGACGGTCCAGCTGAAGATGCATTAAAATAGGTTAAGGGATATGTTACGGAAATTTCTCGGAGTTTTAAATTGACGAAGAAGTGTCAGATTTTTTTGTTTCGTGTCGTTCAATATGGCCCTTAACGATTTAAGGTAAAAATGGGGCGTAAACCGAAGTGTTTTGGAAACTTCTAGTGGTTTAACGGTGCTGGAAAGACTACGCTTATAGGTACGGTACCCGACCCGAGTATGCTAGTATGAAAACCTGACAAACTCACTCCCAAGCCTTCGTCTTGCAGGCTTCTCCGGCCTTCCAAACTCTCCGGTTCGTCTGTGCGTAGCGCGCGAAATCCGCGGGGTCACGGCCGAGGTGGTCGAAGATCTTCTCATGGACCTCAGTCGGCAAGTTCGAGAAATCCGGGGACGGCTTGACCATCGAAAATGTATCAATAATTTAAGCTTAAAGGCAGCGGCAAAGCTGGCAAGGGAGGGAGATAGTGTGAGAGAGAGAGAGGGAGAGCGCGCGCTAACGAGCGAGAGAGCAGGAGAGAGAGCCACCAAAGCTAATAAATCAGCAAAATTCCAGAAATCGATGGGTTGCAGCGGTCAGGCAGGTCACGCAAAACAAGAAGGTGCCGATTGAATGAATGTGTGAGGGGTGGTTGATTTCAAATGTGGGCACTGACTGTCTGTCCGGGACACACGAGATCCTCCTCAGTTTCTGCCGCGCCTCCCTATCGCCCCCCATCGCCACCCCCATTTACATCTTGGGCCCGTGGGGTGGCAGCGACCCAGACGGTCCACTACGACCACAACATCGTGACTCATCAGGGAGGATGGCTTTACCCATCAATGCTGATTTCCCGGAAATATGCTGTGGAGGGGCTGGGGGCCGACAAATATGTTCAATTGACTCTAGGCTAAGCCTAGGTCCAAGCCTAAGCCTAAGCCAAAGCTTAAGCCTGAGTTTCAGGTTAAGCCTGAGTTTATGCCTTAGCCGAGACTTAACCTTAAGCCTACGCCTATGCCCATACCCACGCCGAAGCCTAAGTCTAAGCCTAAGCCCTGGCATAAGTCTAAGCTTAAGCCTAAGCCAAACTTCAAGCTGGATTCTTGGCACGCCGAGGCCTTCGCTGTGAACTGACCATTGAAAGTCCTGTATTGCCATGGAAAATACGCTTTTTCCGAAATCCAATTTCCACTGCTATATTTAAAACATTTTATTTGGCGTTGATTTCATTAACTGGCTCCATCGCCATCAATAACGAGGAGACGATGACGATGAGGGCCGGGTTCATGAAGTTGCAGTAGAGGAAGTCCCGTCCAGCATGCTGTGTGAGCAAGAGACCGATGCGGAAGAGCTGAAAAATTGTTATATGAGCGAGAGAGAGAGACAGAGGGAGAGAGAGAAAGAGAGAGAGAGGGAGAGCGTGAGAGACAAGAGATAGATCCATTTTATCAAAGCCATACCAAGGCAATATGGTATCCATTAATCGCCGAGTGCTTCCCACGATACAACCCGATGGCAGCTACGACGAATAGCGAAGCGGTGATCAGATAGGGCAGCTGAAAAAAGTATACGAGCCACCTTGAATCTAAACTTTTCTTAAAAAATGTCCAAACTTTCTATTCCTCCTATATCGCAACATTAACCCACCACATCCAGACACATAGCTGTCCACGCTTCGTTGATACTGTCGACCGTAGGCGATTGACCGGGAATGCCACGGACGAAAGCACTTAAAAAGGTAGAGAAATTTTCGGACGTTAAAAATGGAGCATGGAAGTAAGAATTCTTTGCAAAGCTGTCATTCACCTACTTATATTGGTCTAGCGATGCGGAGAGGTAATATCCGCTGAAGTAGACATCGATAAAGCCCAGCCAGGTGAAGAGAATTTGGAAGAGCTGCAACAAGATGTGGCCTCAGCTTTAGATGCTTCAAAGCCACCTAGGTCTCCGGGCTTAGGAATACGCGTTATCGAGTGAGAGAGAGAGCGAGAGAGAGAGTGAGAGAGAGAGAGAAAAGGAGATAGCGGCACCGCTTCTCAAAGGGTAATTGCTTGCTGCCTCGTTTTGCAAAAAGCATCTAGATGATCTTTGTGGATAATTGAGTGCTTCGCTTTTTAAACTCACCATCCTAAGGCAATCCTGCTTCTTCTTCAAGGCCAGATCCCTTCGAATCGACATCATCCCGCCACCACCCAGAACGTATCCCGGCTGTGAATACCGTGGAGGCGGATTCTGAAATCTCCCTCGACTATCTTCGGCCTCAGCCAGGTGATCCAAATTTTGGAATCGAAGCAGGGAAGCGTAGGAGCCGGACGTCTCGGTGGACAGCACCGGAATAGAAGCGTCCACTGGCCGGAAAACCGGATTTGCATATAGGAAGGCGTCGGGGTAAGACGGTGGAGTCTCCTCGTCGAGCGTCACCACACTTACGGGAAGTGGTGAGGGACGAGGTGCGGACGCGGCCATTTCGGGGTCGATGGGGCAAGCCAATTTTTGTCAGAAAAGGTGGGCGAATTCCAATATTTTGACGGTAGACTCATTGTCGTGTCTTGGGCATTGCAACGCGTGACGGTAGGGAATTGGGGCTAGGTTTCATTAAGGTTTAGACGCCTTGAAATCGTCGCTAACACACGGTCGCTACGGGTCAGATGTTGATGACATGTTGGAACCCCAATTAGAGGGTTTTTCGAACATACAAAGTTGTGAGTTTGCCCAAATGATCTCCGCTAGTTAGCTTCATGGCTGCTCTCTCTCTCTCTCTCTTTCTCAATCTCTCTCTCTCAATCTCTCTCGTTCTCAATCCCTCTCTCGCTGTCTCTGTCTCGATCTGTCTTTTCGATGTTTCTGGGTCTGTGTTCTTTGCATCTACCGCGCTCTCTCCCCCTCTCTCTCTCTCATCGCTCTCTTTCTTCTCCTTCTTCTAAAACTTAGCTACACGTTTTCGACCAGGAATACTTTTTCAAACACCAGAACAAAACCGGAAACTGATTCACGGGCCTTGATTCACTTCCCCAAATTATTCGCCCATTTTTTAAACCGTCAAACGTAACATTTCGTACAAACCTTCCTCCCGATTCCCCTATCCACCGCCAAAACAAGCCTGCAAAAATGGGACACCCGGATTATTGTCCCTCAAATCCCCCTTTTCCCATGAAATAAACCGGTAAACAGGGCAATGCCCGTACTTTCCCCACCGTTCATAGGATGGCGATGTATTATCCACCCAACCGTAACCGTTTTCTGTTTTCTATTTTTCTAGAAAAATATTTCGGCGCTGGGGCCCCCCCGTCACTTTTCGGGGTGGTTGGGCGGCCATGGTCCACTTGGCCCCATCGCTTCTATTTGCTGAAAAATGTGCTCCTTCTCGACGGCGGGGGTCGATGAGAGACCGTTTTCGAGGTTTCTCTTTGGGTGCTTGGGTTCAAATTTTGTGTTAGAGCCGTGTTCGCGGTTCAATTTCGATCGATTTCCGGAAGAGAGTCATGACTTTAGCAAAATTTCTCAGGATTTTTAGTCTTGCGTCAATTTTCTCAAGCTATGATAGTTCTCATCATCTTTTTGCAGCCGCTCAGAAAGTAAGGCTTAAGCTTAGGCCCAGGCTGGGGCTGGGAACCGAGCTCCAGAACCGCGATTTTTCCTTGACTGGTCAGATTTTTATACCCTGACCATACACCCGCCATCAAATCCATACATATTTTCACGCCCCCCAAAAAGGCGCCGAGCCGAGCGAATGCGAGCGGGAAATGCGAATGCAAACATTCTGTAGGCGCATGACTGGCCGCTGGCTCGAATTGTGAGGCCGAGGCTGAACGGGCAGCTGGGGGATTTCGCCATCCCCCACCCTTTAGCCGCCCTCCTTTACGTTGGTGGCTTGGAGGATATTGTGGCTTTGGCATTCTCTTCTTCGTATCCACGCAACCGCACATCGACCTAAACCTACACAGAACTCGTCAAATCCTTGAAGCTTTTTTAAGCGGCCGGTTCTAGCCTTAAGCTTCTATGAAGTTTGCTGCTCTCAAAAATTTTGTTTTTCTTATTATCATTAGACAGCCCAATAAATCATGCACTAAATCAATTCTAGTAAATTTCCCCCCTCCTAAAGCAACTCAGCTTTTTTTGATAAGTCTGCCTTTTATGGCATTTACTGATATATATAACTGATATATTATAGAAAAAGTATGAATTCTTTCAAGGTCTTTTTCGTTGAAAGAATTGATAGGTTTTTTGAATTATCCACGCAACAAAAGGATGCACTTTACATCATTTTTAGTCGTTTTGAAAGGTACACGCTTGATTACCTTTAAAATTGGGGGTCTTAACACGTCATATGTTTTTGTTTCCCTTTGCTTGCCCTTGGATACTCAAAAATTGTAAAAACTGTAATAACTAAAACCTTTGGCAAAAACTGCACAAACACCATCAAATAATATATGTTGCCAGGGGCGTACACGAACCCGATTTTTGGGGGGGGGGGCAACTCGAAAATTTTTTGTCGACCTCCCCCCCGGTCACCACTTTCAAAACATTCAAAATTCGCAGCTATAACAGCGCCGCAAAACTAAGGAAAACGCGTTAGAAACGCTCAAATTCATGTAAAAACATCACAGAAAACGCGCCGCAGGCGAAAATTTTATATGGCCAGTTGACACACTAATGAAAACAGCGCCGCAGGCAAAAAAATTTTGGAAAAATAGGCTTCATAGAAGCAAAAACCGTTTTAAAAACAGTAATAAACAGCGCCGCAGGCAAAAAAATTTTTATTGAAAAAATCATAAGGGTCCCCCCTTATGAACTTTTCGGCCTTCGGCCGATTTGGGGGGGCAACTTGCCCCTGTTGCCCCCCTCGTACGCCCCTGTATGTTGCTATGGATTTGCAGCAGTGAAAGCCCCGCTTTTTGCTATAACTAGTTTTTCTGATGTCATTTTCCGATTTTTCCTGATTAATAAGTTCAAACAAATCCTCCTTTCTGAGAATTTTGATCTCTATAATTGCTAATTTACGATAGGTCTATTAAAAGGATCCGACATCGTCTCTCCCTCTCCTCCTTCGCGCACTAGGTAAATATTTTTCGGGCACCGAATAGGCAAGGCTCCGGTGTGTGTATGGCCGGAATGGGGCAGGTGTGCAATTTGGTGGGCCGGGGAGGGGAAGAATCCATGGTCACTTTCTGGATTTCTCTCTTCCTCTCTCTCCCTCTCTCTCTCTCTCATCACGTTCTCTCCCTCCAGGCTCTGACCGATCGAATGACTCATGGAGTCAGAACTCCTAGCACAGATCTGTGCCCGGTATTTGGATTGTGTTTCGCAAGTTGCAGTTTCTTGAGCTGCAAATCAGAAGGTGACTCCTTGGTTGCTCTTTCTAATCCGCGTGCCTAGCAAATAAGGGGTAATATTTAAAACCTGGCTGGCTCGGGCTGCAATTTTAGAGGTATTGGGAGCTCGCAACTTCAAAAAAATCCTGGTTAAACTTTTCATTTAGCTTTGAAAAGGATGCGATGCCCCCAAAATACAATTTCAATTTCTGCTTTGAACACTGGAGTTCAAAGCCAGTCAGTCAAAATAGATGAGCCATGCCGTGCCTTTCATCGACCCTTCTCCTCTGCTTTCTTCGAATGGGCCTTTGTTTTTCCGGTATTTCCTGCTTATCTAAAAAGTTAGAATTCCTAGGTTTTGGTTCTCAAGTCTGACGTCCTTTGTTTGTGTCGTAAGCCATTTTAAAACTGTCCAAAAGGGCTTTTTGCCAGTTTTCAAGGTTAAAAACGGGAATGTGTCAGTAAACGTTTTAAGTTACTCAGAATTGCTGTTAAGAAATACCTGCTAGATTGCACCCACCATAATTTTTTGCGATTTTTGCTTCCGAGCAGGCGTGAATCTTTTCCGCCCCTTTTTTGGCAACCAAAAGTGCTCGGGCTTTCCAAGCTAAAAAATGGGGCTAACTTCACTTCACTTTTTTTGCAAGAAAAGACAGCCCGAATTCGAACAGTATTGGATATTTTATCCCACGTTCGCGTACTTTCTCTCCCTCTCAAAAATACCGCATAAAGAAAAATACTTCCCTTCGCGACTCGCCCACCTCGATGTTGATGCAGCCCCCGAATCGGGCGACTCATATTTCCGCCATTTCATCGCCATTTTCACCGTGGACAAAAGGCCTTCACCCGAGGGCCCGTGTGTTTGCCTGTGTTCACAGAGCCCCCGGGGCTTCCGCCCTACCCTTACCTTGCAGCCCCTCTAAATATCGATTGGCAAATGTCAACAAAATGGGGTGCATTTTAGGGTTGGGTCTTTGAGTCATTGCTTTGGTTTAGTTTAAAAGGCCAATCTGGGACTGCTGGTGTTTAGTTTTGTGGTTAGAGAGATAGAGAGATAGAGGGGAGAGATAGAGAGAGAGAGAGAGAGAGAGAGAGGAGAGAGAGAGAGAGAGAGAGAGAGAGAGAGAGAGAGAGAGAGAGAGAGAGAAAGATTTGCAGCTACTTTTCTATCTAAACCATGCAAATCCTACACCTTGTATCCCTTAAGGCTTCATAGGTACGAACGCCCAACACTTATTGACACAGCCAGATTATTCATGAGAGTCTTCGCTATCGTCCTCTCTCTCTCTCTCTCTCTCTCTCTCTCTCTCTCTCTCTCTCTCTCTCTCTCTCTCTCTCTCTCTGTTTGCTGCTATTGCTTCTCTCCTCACCTTACTATATACAAACTACGCGTTTCCGTTTTTCGTAATTCCCAAATTCCATCTGTTTTCTGCTATCATGTCATGTTTCCCATCCCTTTCGAACCCACCTGATAAATATTCATGTTTCGCTCCTATCGTTTTTCGTAGCGATGATTCACTCGGAAAACTCGAACCGTTTTGCTGGCAGCCCGGCTCGTCATTTGGGGGTCACCACACATTTTTGCGTTTTTTTCACAAGTTTTGTTCCGTGTTGTCCAACTTGGCTCCATAATTTCCTGTTTTTGCTTCGAACGAGTTTTCAGAAACTTATTTTACCGCAGCAATTTTGGATATTTGTATTTTCTATATCATAATTTAATCGAAAAAGCAAAAAAACACAACCCAGACCGTTTAAAACGCTGAACATTTTATTTACCCTTATCTCCACGTGATTCATTCCGCCATGTCGGCCCAAATTCTGAATCAAGCGTCCCCCAAATATGTTTAGCAACTTCCCAAGCCCAAATTTCGATTTTACACCCATCTTCAGATTTATATTCGTTTCCTCTTCAACGCATTTTATGCATACCTTGCATCTAAAAAACAGCTTTTTCGAAAACCGCCTGTTTCTTGACCTATTTTTTAATCAAGATCCCATTTTTATCTATTTTTACTTGATTTTTCGATACTGTATCTCTAGAACAAACCCTGCTATTTTCAGAATCCTATAAACAGTGAGCCCGCCTATAATCGGTTGTTGAAACGGGCGCAAAATGGTTCGCGATCGGCTGGCTGAGCTGCAGGTAGGTGAGGGGTTTTTAGAGGGGGAAACGAACCGGTATTCGGCTATCCGTTAGTCATAGACGATCGGGGGAATTGCTGTACGGTTATGAAAACAAGGATTATACTTGGAATACATAGTACTGCTACGATATAATAAAATAGTTATGTAGATCAAGGGGAAGGTGACGGACCGATTTGAGGAGGTCGAGCTAGGGAGTACAACTTCAACAAATCGGACATGGAATTCAGAAACGGATCGAGTGGCTCATGTAAGTAGTAGGAGAGAGAGAGAAAGAGAGGGAGAGAGAGAAAGAGAGAGCGAGAGAGAGAGGGAATGAGAGAGAATCTTGTCGTTTTTAGGTAAGATCCATGCTCAACGATCTCCAGGACGATATATTCGAGCTAAAACGGAAGCAGGACCATGTTTTATCACTACCACTCGTCAATATTCAACATAAAGTACGTATATTTTACAGTATAAACTACAATATTACGCTGAGTAAGAAATTATGTGAATTGTTTTAGATGGAGCTCGAGGAACAGATCAATCGGATCAGGCAGAGGACGAAAAATCTTCAGCCTCAAGTCGCTACACTTGAGGACGAGCTCCGGCAATTTGAGCGAAGTGAGTTAGGGATATTTAATGGTTCTCTGTAGTAAAGTATACCTTATTATACTTAAGTATTTATCGAAGCAAAATATACTAATTTCAGCCTCACGCTCCAACGTGGAGATCCGGATGCGCCGAAATCAGTGCGACATGGTCCGGAAAAAGATGCAGGACGTGCTGCGATTATTTAATGACCAGCAAGTGGACTATAAGGAGCGAGTATCGAGTACGAAACATGCAAAATAATATACAGTATTATACGACCATCCAACCATTGAAACGTTTTTATCCACGTTTTAGAACGTGTCAAACGGAGCCTAAAGCTCGCCGGAGAGAACCTGGCCGAGAATGAGGTCGACCAAATGCTCAACTCTCAACAACAAGTGAGTCCCCTCGAGTCGACTGCAAACTCTAAAATCCAACCCTATAGGCTATCAAGTTTGGCATTGGACATACAGCAGTAAGAAAGAGTTCTTTGCTTCATTTTTCGTCACGTTTTGGCTTTGCGGGGCTTGGCTTGGATAGCCAATAAAAATTAAGGTCGATATTTTCCAGATTTTCTTCCGGGAGGTCAATCCACTAACCATAGCTGGTCGGGCAGCTCTTGAAGATGCAAAACAGCGACATGGCGAAATTCTGGAGCTTGAGGAGAGTCTCCAAACGCTGCAAGAGATGTTCGAGGACATGTACATGCTCGTGCATTCGCAGGTATGTAAAAATAGGGGGGTTTTAGGGCGTTAGAGCCAGCATTTAAGCAGCAAGGGCACAAATTGACACTGTGCATAAACCACGCACGCAGGAGGACCTTTGAAATTAAAATCTTCTGATCGGAAAATTTGCCAGTATACCTTTGAATTGTTTTTAAACAAAAAAACCCGTGTTTTTCATTAAAACCAACACCCGGAAAAGTCCTATAGCCCTTGAAAACGCGCTAGCATCTTAAAAACACATCATAAATTCTCATTTCCAGGGCGAAATGGTCGAGCGCATCGACAAAAACGTCGACGACGCCAAGTTCCAAGTGCACGAGGCTGCCGTCAACACCAAGACGGCCGTCGAGTACAAAAAGTCGGCGTTGCGGAAGAAATGGTTGTGCATTGCAGCATTTGTTCTGTTGCTTATCATCCTTATCGCCGTCGCCATCATCCTGGCTGTTGTGCTAACCCGGCAGTCCGGTGGAGGGAATGGGCGTTAATTTTGGGGGTGATGTCGTTTTTTGAGTTTTCAATCTACAACTCCTACGTCAGCATACTATAGACGTCACAGCGTCTGAAAAGTGAGGAAATCTTGATTATCTGGATTTTTGACAGCACTCTTAATGCCTAAAAACATATTGTATTCCCATCGGCTCTTTGCTAGCGCTTCAAAATTTTGATAAAATCCGAAGTCATCCGTTAAGATTGCATATTTTGCATCCACCACCGTACTTCTTTCTACTAAAATGCCAATAACTTACCGTACCCTACTTCTAATACCACCAAATATTACGACCAAATGCTATGAACGACGCCGCTTTGCATGAGCTTTTTTGTTGGAGACGCCGAAGCTTAGGCTAAGTCAAGCCGCAGCATCTGCGTAAGCCGAAGTCTAAGCCTAAGTCTATGCCTAAACCTAACCCTAAGCTTAAACCTAAGGTTAAGCCTGGGCTTAAGTCCAACTACCTTCTCCAAGCTGGGCCCACCTGAATAGCCATCAGATTTTCAGGCTATGGTGGCTGCCCGGGTTCGGCCCTCCATCCGTACTTTCGGACTAAACTGCGCTTCCGCTACCGTAACCCCCCATTGCTTAATCCACCTATACTCTCCACTGACCTCACGACAATGTTTCTGAGACTTTGCCCTACTCGTCGCTTCTTTGCACATATTCTCGCTTATATCAGACTTCCGGCTGTGAAGGCTGTTTGCTTCACTTACGACTCCGTGATCCCTCGATACGGGCTGTGTTACTTTTTCAGTGTCTTGATCGTTTTTGCGTATTTTTGAGCGAAGTTGAATAAACATTTTAGAATTGCATTACGCCACAAACTACACCAAATTACACATATGATTTTGCGCCAAAATTGCTTAATTTGCCCCTTTTTCTTGGATGATACGTTAAAAACGGATTTCTGCGTGGTCGGGGCGAATCATTTTCTCTGTTTTTGGACTCAATTTTAAGAAAAACCATAGATATTCATTGAATTATTCAAGCCGAGGTTATAATACACTACAAAATAGACCAAATTACGCGTACGAATTGGCGCTAAAATAGTCCAATCTGCATTTTTCAATTATTGTCCCGATAAAAACAAATTTATACATGGGGTTGCGCGGATCATTTTTACTATATTTTTGGAAAGTATCATTTGTTCGTGTTCCCGTCATCGTCGCCATCATAATTCTAGCAATCGCAGCAGCAGTTCATCAAACAATCACAGCATTCAAATGCGCAGCAACCACAGCAGAGACCGGCCAGGATTCCGGCGCAGCAGCCGTCACTGTTGCCGCCCTGTCGGCGTTGCTCGACTCTGAAAATTACAGATATAAAGCTATACGACGTAAATTTTGCGCTTTTTATCCCTCTCTCGCTTTCTCGCTCTCTCTCTCTCTCACTCTCTCTTTCTCTCTCGCTCTCCCTCTCACTCTCATCAAAAACTCACACAACGACCTGCGGTTGATTATATCCAGGTTGCGGGTAGCCTTGTTGAGGTGGATATCCCTGATTTGGAGGGTAGTTTCCGGGGTAGGCTCCCTAAATTTGAGGTTACTGTGAAACTCTAAGTTTATTTTCTGCTGATATGGTATCTGACTTACCGGCTGCTGATTGTAGTACGGTCCTCGGTCGTCGTAGCCCATCTTGGGAGTGGTTATGGATCTGAAACGGTTTTTCTGAACTGGACCAGGTATATATTTCAGTGAAGAACATGAAATCTAGAAAAAATTGATCCGAAAAAAGCTAATAGATACAACAAGAAGAACAAGAACTGAATTAAGGACACAATTAACAACAAGGACAAGAATTTCTAGTGGAAGAAAATTTTTCTGCAAAGAAGATGTTCAAAAATGCCTGGGACAACGGAGTCGCCTCATAAATTCCGACAAGTTCCCAATAGCGACTTGCCACGACGAGGTGGATAACCATGGAGATCCAGGGATTCTCTTCTGACAAAGCACCAAAAATGATGGAAGCCCGAGTGGGCCAATTGACGGCCATACATCCGCCGGCGGCTGGCCCCCTCGATTTTAATGCAAATAGAGAAAATCGTGGGGGTGGGGTTGATGTTGGTTGGGTTGGGTGAGTCATGTAGGTAAAGCGGTACCTGTTTGCAGTTTTTGTCGGTTTTGCAATAACAATCCTCGGGGATTTTAGTCATTTCGGTAGCGGTCTACGAGACAGAGCCCGAGAGCGAGAAGGAGAGAGAGAAAGAGAAAGAGAGAGAGAGAGAGAGAGAGCGAGAGAGAGAGATAGAAGGAGAGAGAGAGGGCGTGAGAGAGGTAGAGAGGGAAAAAGAGAGCGCGAAAGCGAGAGTGAGAGTGAGGGAGATAGAGAGCTAAAAGGTGATCGAGAAAGATTGTTAGTTGGATAAAAAGATAGAAAGTGAAAGCGAGCGAGAGAGAGAACGAGAGAGAGAGAGAGAGAGAAAGAGAGGCAGTTCGCGAGATTAAGAGAGAGCAGATGCAAAGTTAGGTAACGCAAGAAAGCCAAAAAAAAATGTCAAATCTACCGTTCAACTTCTAAAAAATATTCTTTCCAACTAATGCATGTAGTAAGCTAGTGCTGTTCCCGTTGGTTGTTAGGCCCCAGAATTCGCTATTTACCCTGGGCCACCAGCCTGAAAAACCGCCTCTTCGCCCCTGCCAAACATCAACGAATCGCCGAAACATGCCGTAAAATATCGATTTGAGCGCGAGGGTCGGGTTGATGAATTTTTGAATAGGTCGAGCGATCGGGAATTGAGGGTGAGGGTCACAAGTTGGGTGGGTGGAAGCGGAACGGGGGTTTAAAACGCATAAAAAGAGCGACAAGGAAAGTATAGGGGAAAAATTGGCGGCATCTCGTACCGAAGTATTTTTGTAATGATCTAACTATATAAATGAAAATAAACTGAACATTATAGTGCTAAAAACTAATAAGTAAGGAGCAAAATCAAGAGTATACTGTAAGAAGCGGCTTGAATTTTTCAATGTCTAAATCCACGTTTTAATCATGTTTCAAAGCAACACCCAAGAGTGAAGAGGCGAAATAACAAAATCCCGAAATCGTGTGTTTGCGTGTAGATATGAGTAACCCCGAGGAACGGCCGGCCCACCGATTATATTTCACGACCGAATGGGGCGTGTGTGGGGATGCCTTCGTGTGTGTGTATGCGCGAGAATTCGGAAATCCTGGCCAACCCCGTCAATTGGCAGGCAGCTAAAAAAGGGTAAAAGATGGGTGAGTCATTTAGGCAGAAATTTACAAGTTTATGAGTTTGGGGCTCGCTATGCGAAAAGGAAATAAATTTTGAAACGTTTATACCAAATTTTCAATGATGGTGATGAGTATGGTGATGATGATATACAAAATAGAAAAATGGTAAATAAGCTGCGTATTTCCTACATTATTTTCAGATGCAAAGATCTGCAGAGCGTCGAAGATAAGGCTCAAAACGAAGATATTCCCGATTTCGGCATGCCCAAAATGCACTGGCCCGGCCAGCCACCACTGTGTTGTTGTTTTTCCGGCCTTCCCGAAACGATAGGACTGCCCTTTCCCGTGTTGTGGTCAGAGAGCCCGGATTTCCCCCAGACGAGCCCGATTTGGTGTTAGAGAGAGATGGTGAGCATCAGATTTGTCCTGAAAATAGTGATTTGCTAACCCGACGATCGTGTTAAAGGTATCAATACGGTTAGGAAAGAAGTCAAAAATGATGAAGGAAAAAATTACGAAAATCGCAAGACAGCGCGTAAAACTTCGGAACTAAAGGACCAGTCAGCAACTAAAGCAGCGACTGTACGTTGAAAAACAGACGCGTAAAAAGGTGGCATTCGTAGCTTTGTGCACGAAATGGAGTTTTTGCATGTAAATCGATTACTCACCAATACTGCGTTCATCGGTTGACCGTGTCAACTACAGGATTAAAGGGGCTTTATGCAGAAAATGAAAGCGAGAGAGTGCGAGAGAGAGAGAAAGAGTGCGAGAGAGAGAAAGAGAGAGAGAGAGAGAGAGAGAGAGACGGAGGGAGAGGGAGGGAGGGAGGGAGAGAGGGGGGAGAGTGATTGGAATATTGTGAGTCATTCTACCGTACTAGGGTGTCACGGTCTCTGGCTTCCGCAGCTTACGCTGCAGCGTTTTGCGTCAACCACTAGCCACCAAAAAACCTCTCCGGCTGCTTCAGTTTTATTTAATTTCTTCTAGCCTGTTTAACGTATAAAAATTATAAAATGATTTTTGCCTTGTTCTCCCTCGATCGAACACTAGCAACAGAAAAAACATCCCCGCCCCCCATTACGAGCAGATTACGCGCGACTAGTACTGTGCGAACGGTTTTTTGGTATCCATTTTTTGCGTTTAGATACCGTTCGCACCCAGCCGATTCCGTTCATTGCTAGTGGATGACCCGCAGAAAATCGTTCGTTTGCTCATTCGTTCTTTGTCAGTCTATTTGTACAGAAAATTCCTTTCCGGGGGCGTAGGAAGGGCACTTGAATGGACTGTGTGGATTCGCTCAAAGTCGTTTTCCTTGTCGGGAGTGTGGCCCGTGTCCCGGAACGGTCAAATCTTTCAAGGCGCGATTTTCCGATTTTCCGATAGTTTTTAATCTATAAAAATTCTATTAATTTTTGTGATTCTGGAAAGCCTGACTCGAAGCCGTTCTGTTTAGAACAGAGCTTATCTGAACGCTTTTACACCTTGAAAACCGGTGTGCTTTTTGCATGCTAAAAACCTCGATTTGTTGCTTCTTTCTGGCCCAAGAATTGCGGATGGTTGTTTCGACGCCTGAATTAATCAAATCCCCCTCGATTGCTTATTCTTATTCCCCTCGAAACCCAGACTGTTGATGGACATCTCGGGGGATGTTTCTATTCAGAGTCCATCAGTCCTCTTATTTTTCTATTTTTTTTTGCGCCGGGCTTTCCCCCCTCGATATTGACTGCTCAGAGTCACAGACGTGCCCCCAGGCCCTCGTAATACGATTACCATTGATTCATACTGATTTCTAGGTCCTTACGTCTGCATTTATCTTTGTAAATTCCGATCAGAACGGCTTGGAGATGTTCAAGGATCGCTTGATGGATATGGCGGTACGCTAGACAGACATACAAAAGAATTAAACAGCTTTTTTCAGAAAGCCAATCTGTCACACTTTAAAAGTATTGACGAGGAGGTGATTGAGTTGATTCCGAAGTATTCGCAGGAATTTTCAACGCTGGCTGCTCAGGTAAGAATTTTTTACGAGACCGGGAAATTCGTTTTTGCGCACTACATTGGTTAAAGGGACCCACAAGGCAAAAATCTACGCTTTTACCGGCGTGCTTTCTCTTTGTCTCTCTCTCTCTCTCCCGCTTGCCTTCTTTCCCTCCCTCCCTCTCTCTCATCATCTCGTTGCCTCTCTCACAATCTTTTTCTCTCCATCTCACTCGTTCTCTCATTTTCCCCCCCTCTCTCTCTCTCTCTCTCTCTCTCTCTCTCTCTCTTTCCTTCTTTCTTTCTATCTCTCCATATCGCTCTCACTTCTCTCTCTCTCTCTCGCTCTCTCTCTCTCTCTCTCGCTCTCCCTCTCTCGCTCTCCTACTTTTCTGATTTCTACCACCTGCGCCCAAAAATACGTTCTTGGCAAATACAGCTTGTCTATTATCGTCATCTCTACCTTTCCAGCTGGTCGGTGAGCTAGAGTCAATCAGAGAAGCACTCAACACTTGGCAATCCTGCCAACAGTCCGTCATCTCTGGCCCCCGAGTCGAAAAAGAGCAAAAAGTAAGGGGCAGCACAAGGGTTATGAGAGTATGGCTGGTATTCTAGGAGGCACTCGAACTGCTTCGTGATCGGGTACGCGCGAGTATTGCACGCATTCAGCCGGCTGTCGACGACTTGGCTGAGCGGTTTGAGGTGTTGCAGCAGGGTTGGTTTTTATAGCGTAATCGATTAATTTATAAAATTTAATAATTTTTTACATTTTTAGCCGATCTTTCTGACGCTGGGATGATAATGACGACAAATCAGCACACGCTGATCCAAACGACGCTGAGGGAAGCGAAAGAGGATCTGAATGCTATTGAGGTTGAGTACCAGCTGAACGTGGCGAATTGGTTTGAAGATGGTGGGTGGAATCGCTCTTGCTCTATTTGGCTCTCTCGCTCTCTCTCTCACCCCTCACTGTCTCTCGTTCGTTCTAGCTCTCTCTCTCTAGGGCTTTCGTGCTTTTGCACTCTAAACCTTGCTCCTTCTCTCTTGCTCCCGACCTCCGGCTCCTAAATTATCTCATTCTTTACTCGTTGTCACGCTCTCTATCTCACTTTCATTCCATCTCGCTCTTTCACTCGGCTCTCTCTTTCTGTCTCTCTTTCTCTCTCTTTATCACTTTCCCTCTCTCTCCTTCGCTCTCTCGCTTCGAAGCTAATGCCAAAGAAACCGAAAAAATGCGAATACATGAGGTTATGCAAATTAGACAACATTTCTACCTTTAATTCCATTTTCAGACCTCCTACGACCCTCCAAAAATGACATCCAGACCATTCCACTGGTGATGAGCGCCACGACCACCACGACCACCACAACGGTCGTCGAAGTCGAGACGGTGGATGAGACTGTGGTATGAAAATTAGTTTAAATAGTTCAATGAAAAACCCAGCCGAAGCTCCAGCGGCAGCAGACA